TATATATTTTAGAATGATATGTGTTACTTATGACTTACATGTGTTATATTATATTAGTTTTTATAACTTATATCATATAACTACTTGAAATATAAAACTGATAAAAAATGCGAAAGTTATTAACTTTTAAAATATATATACAATTCAATAGTTATAATAAAGAATGATATTAAAATGTAATTAACACATGTAACATGACCATAAATAATCAACATATTTATGGTAATCCGAACCTAATTATTTATGGTTTGGAATTAAATTAAAACTAGTACGTACCTCGTGCGATGCACGGGACAAAAATATTAAATGTGTTGTTTCACATGCTTTGTCCGTTTAAGTATATAAAGCAATAGAATTATCATTCATTTTTTTTATCTATTTTAATCAGATTTAAGTATAATAAACAATAAGGTTATAATATATTTTGCACCTCTTTTCATCAACGTTATTTTTTTAGTCAAAATATTAAAATAATTAATATATTATTTCACTAACACATTTATCTTAATTTAAATTTGATTTTAATATATATATTTATTCCTTGATACAAGAGAGAATAACAATTTTACTTATTCTTGTTCACCATATAATACTTAATTATTATTTTATTATACATTTTATGTCATATAATGTCATTATTATTTATAAAGTTATAGAAGTTTTACGTCTTCTTTATATTTTTATTTTATGTAATGAAAAATATTTAATGCACGTTTGCACTATTTATTTATGTAATCAATTTAAAATATGTAAATAAATTTAATATTAAATAGTGTATAAATATTTTACAAAATATACACATGTTTTTTTAGAATTTAATTTTATATACTAATTAAACAACTTTGATTTAGAAAATCCTAAAAACCCGATCCCCTATAGAATCAAGATTTTTCTAGTTCGCATTATAAGGATTTATGGTTTATTTAGCGTACTCAACAGTGAAAATATATTTTACAAGAATTTAATTATAGAAACAAATCAAAATAAAAAAATGAAAAAATATAGTCATGGGTGCCAATAATATACAAATAAATGCTAAACAATAGTTAATATATTTCAATTTTAATTTTTTACCATTAGTAAACTATTTATTATATCTGGTCATTATCTCTTAAATGGTAAATTATATTAATTTGAAGAACGATTTATTTTTCATATTTAACAAAATAAAGCTTAAGAAATAAATATATTGACAAATATTAATTCACCAATTTGATTTTGTCTGATTATTTGGTAAAAAAATTCTACCAAATTTGTTACGATTTTTCATAAATATTTTTGGATAAAAAGTGCATATTTGTGAAAAAAAAAAAAAGCTAATATTATGGTTAGAACTTAAAATATGGTGTAATATTATCTTGACCAAAATATTATCAACATGGATCACATAAATTAATCTTGTAATTCATTATAATGAATATCAATGAAAGTGTTACAAATATTAATAAAATAATATTTGTCTTGACCAAAATATTATCAACCTGAATCATGAAAATCAATCTTGTAATTTATTATAATAAATATAAATGAAAATACTGCAGATATTAATAATTTATTTAAGTAACTATTTGATCTTATTTAATAACATGTAAAGAGAAGCAATTAATGCATATATAAAAAATTTCCAAAAATAGCATGCATTAAATGTTTCCTAATTTTTTGCTATTATTTTTAGTAAATGGTAATTCTTTTTATATATATATAGATTTACCCAATCATAATAACGAAGCATGTAATTTTGCCACATAGGATTCCAAAGCACCAGAAGCAGCCACGTAGGCTCAGCGCGTTCTGGATTAATATATAGGGGGAGGGAGATTTCCAAAAAGAGTAATGATATATGTACATAATAGTGTACATAGAGGTGTACATAACACTCACATTGAATGGGTCCCACCAAAATTAAAAAATCAAATGGACCTCACTCCATGTGAGTGTTATGTACATCTCTACGTACATTTATTAAGTACATGTAGCATTTTCCTTCCAAAAATTGACTGTATCTAATTTCTAACCCGGGCTGGCTTCCTTAAAATTGGACAATTTTTTTTTTTTTTTTT